GAAAAGAGAAGGGGAAGGTAGCACAACTCTGATTTGTTGTTACAGCAAAACATACATACACTCATTTTACATACATGTTATGTATCCTGTAACATGACATTTTGATGGTGTAATTATATCAACATGCAGACCCAGTTCATATGTTGCCCAGAAATATGGGTGCTTACATCAGCTAGGGACCCTTAAATTGGAATTTGCTTGGAATAAAGACACCAAAGAATTAATTTTAAAAATCTTTATGTGAATATAAAAGAATTTTTTCCAAAGAAAAATAAAACCAAAAGTTTAAAAATTAGTGCAACTTTTCAAGTTCTATGCAACACAGCGTTTACATTTGTTTTAAACAGAAGATGTAGACACTGATACACTGAAAATCTTAACTCTAGCTTGACTAGTGAGGGAAGGGAAAAAAGCAAAAGAGTTAAATAAATTACTTTACTAGACATTACCAACTCCTAAACAATTGTGTTTTTTTCTAATTCCTAAACTATTTATGGCTACTAAATAAAACATCAGTATTGCTTATACTGCTTATTTCCAAGTAAGTGTATACTGTAGAAAATAGAATACTCATATATATATATATTTAATGAACAACAAAAAAAAAAATCAGGTGAAAATTTATTTTCAGTGAATGTTTCTTAATCCACTATAATACAGTTGTTGCAAAAGAATCTTCTCAAAACTGCTGCCTGATCCACCTTGAGTAAAAGAACCTACTAGTCCAAAATTTGTATTATTGCTACAAAACACTTCTCTTCCATAGTAGTTATTCTTCATCTTATATAAAAAAATATTAAGAAATGATATGTCAATCAGAACATGTTTTTGTTTCTTTGGATCTATATTACCCGTTTTACCAGAAACTGGCTAATAATGCTGATTAACTTCAGCACTATTCAATGATTTCATCTCATAATTTGAATCTGTTCCTAACTGTGCTGTCTGGGCATGATACGAATTAATCTTGCAGCAGAGACAAGTAGCCTCTTTCTTTGTCCTGCCTCAGCAGTGGTACACATTGCATCACAGAACATTATATTCACATTGTTCTGCTGCTACGTGTTGCATACAACCCTGCTGTAACACAGCAATGCTATTAGTAACTTTTTTGTTTGACATGAATGACGATAACATTAAAATGATACCTATTCTAATGACCCTTTTTGCACAGCCAGATGAGCTGAAGTGAATAACACCACCATGGCTTATAACCAAATATTTACCTCTACAGATCAGTTCCTCATTTGTAGGACGTAACTCAAGTTTAACCAGTCATAAAACAGCCACTCTTAAACAGGTTCTCAATCCCAAAGAAACGCTTAAGTTATACTCACAGCCTTAACTTTTAACAGTTTGAAAAAGTCCCAAATAAGTACTGTTTCATCTAATACCCGAAAACCCAATATTCATTTTTGGTAACCCCAACAAGACTACTGGGGACAATCTTACCCTGAAAAAGGCTGATCCCTGTCTGCACTCCTGCATTTAAATTCTTCCACTGCTAGTCAGAAGACAAACTTGCAATTAAATGATAGGGAGGTTCTTGGTCATTTTTGGTCCCAGGGTCTGCAGTTTTGAGAAGTGTACATCGAAGACATTTGCTCCAAGTTTTTTCACTACTCACCACCTGATATGACTACTGACACAGCTCTACTACTGTGAGAAGTACAAAAAAAAAAATAAAATGTATCAAGCCTACTAACTAGATGCGTATTTGAAAGATGTCTGTGAAAGTTTCCATGCTGTAAAGAACGAGGGTTAAGAGACCCATTCAACACCACCAATGACAGTTTCACATTTCACTAGAACACACCAAAGTACCAGGCTTTAGAAACGTAAGCATCTTGCTAAGGTTTTGTCTCCTGTTCCACTGCTCACCACCAGCTCCCACACCACTAGCAGAATAAACAAGCAATTGTATCTTAAAAATACAAACCCCAATAATATCACTGCAGTAATAAGAGACCTCAAAACCCAAGAGGTAGTCCAAAGAAGCACAGAGTCCTGAAGAACACAACCTGACAGACAAAACTTTCCAATGGCAGTTCGTCTGGCATATTCTCTGCTCATATCACCTTTAGCATGAGACTGGCTTTTAAACAACGCCTTGTGTAGACAGAAGTTTTGAAAGAGGAAATCTCTGTTGAATGCCTAAACGTATAGCACTGCAAAACTACCACCACAACTAAGAAGCAACATTAACTAAGTATTAAAAATCAACACTTCCCTTTTCTCTAGCATTGCGTGCAATGCCCAATAAAGAATTTAAGATGCTGGTGAAGAAAGAAATCAAAGAACAAGCCATACTGAGGGGCATGCAAAATGGAAGACTACTCAAATTTCGCAATTCAAAACTTAAATACTGCAAAGCTGAACCTCACTCTCAAATCAAAGACAGCCTTAATAGTGAAGACAGACATACGCTTTCATCCACACGTATGGCTGAGTTTTGTATTAGATCTCAGACTGGTACAGCACCCTCAAATACTTAGTTTACGTGTATTCATTTTATTTTTAAGGGCTGCTGTAATTTTATTTAACTATGGGTATAACAAATTTGTTCTAGACAGTTTGCAAAGAATGGCCATTAACATAACTCGCCTGAAAATACAGCTCACAACAAAAATAAGACATTTGGTAAATAGTGACACAAATTTTGTGAAAGATAGTAACTTTCCACACACAAATTTCAGATATCAATCCCCATTTCATCTTCTTCAATCCAGATACTGCAAAACTATTACAGTTCATGCACTTTTCTCCCTGCCAAAAAAGAATTTTTGCTGCCAACAACTAGCGAAGCTACCTTTCCTTCATCTGCCTAGCACAGTTAGTTCAGAATAACAGAAGTGAAACTACATTTAAAAAAGAGGAAAAGTACTTTCTATGCACAGGGTTGTATAAATAGCTGGAAATAAATGGGGATCCTTCCCACCTAACCCACTTTCTGCAATTAAATGCAGTGTACCAATACGTCAGACTTTTAAAACATAGCCCAGATTTCTGAATTATTATAATAGCTTTTCTTCTTACACAGGAAAAGACAGCTTATTTGGCTTTAGTGAATCCAACATCTTAAAAACAAGTTTTCCTTAATGTATATACACACAAACGTATGCTTTTCTTTTTTAAATAAACAGAGTAATTCTGCTTCACTCTTCAGATGACAAAACAAATCCCATCTTCTGTTATGTAAGAAGTCAACTGGTACTACATCTTTTTTTTCTTTTTCTATAAATGCAAGTTATTTTCCCACTTTTAAAATTGTACTTCGTATTCTAAAAAAAATATTTTTTAAAACGTGATACTAATCTTTTATCTTTAGAAGAGCCCAGCAAAAATTCCCAATATTGCCAGTTTCCTGAAGTACATTTTTACATAACATATTCCCATTACAAAATTCAACTTCCTAGCCCAAACCTATTAAATAAAGTTTTAAATATATAGTGCCAAATTTTATATTTACAATATATTCTTGAGGCAAATATAAATCTGTTAAGTTGTGCTTGTAAATACATACTGCAGTTACTGAATCTACTTCTACTTGGAAAACTACGTGCTACCTTCTAGATACTCCCCTGATCAACTTAATCACCTCTTGATAGGTTCTGATGTTGAATTCGCAGCTGCCCACCATTCTAACCTCCTCTTTCATCAAGTAGTTAAAGCGGAAGCTATAAAACATTTAAGGACACTTTAGCATATAATTTTTCCTCATGATCCTTAATCAGATGTTGCACCCGGTACTTTAACAGTGAGATTCCTTCTGGTATTGGTGACATGACGTTGCTGAGCTAGGAATGAGCGTCCGGGACCATCTCTGCAGGCACCACTACTTCCAACCAGTCTTGCTTCCATACCTAGCTTCTGAAGAGTTAGGCTCTGCAAACAAGTTAAACAACATTTACACTACAGCAAAGATCTAAGAAGAAAATCGGCCATCTTCCATACACAAAGCTCATGCTTACTTAGTAAGCACACAGAATGTCTTTTACTGCATTTGCTATAAACCCTCTTGCTGCCATAAAAGGTATGAACCAAGGCTGAAGAAAAGAAGATTAATTCATATTCATATGGAATGCATTAATTTTAGCTTATTGTAAAGTTGTTTCTTTATTAAGCTATTTAACTTTACTTTCCTATTTTGATTTCCTATTCCAGTCTTTCTTTATGAAACTCTATTTAAACATTGCACCATAGGAAGACAAACAACTTTCTCCAGTCCTTTTCACAGCAATCTAACATCAAACATTCTAACAACCTTTGCAATACTGCTGCACGATGAGAAGATGGCTCTAGCACAGTATTTGCGAAACAAAGCTAAAGACACTGAACATCTAAAGCAGGAGTCTGGAAACCTTTGGAATCACGGTCTCCCTTTGTCTCAAGCCCCAAAATTTCAACAACAAATGCTATTGAATATTCAGGAATTTTGCCTGCTAAACCCAGATGGAAGCTTGCGGCAGCAATCAGTACATTATTAACATGGAAGTCATGGCCTATGCTAAAGTTTCCTGTTCCAAAGCACAGAAGACAAGCAGAACACACGTAACAGAATAATTTTACAAAATAGTTGATTGTTAAAATATTGATAAAATGAAAATATCAGTGATGTAAGACTTAACTGTCACATTTAGCAAAATGTGTTTTTCTGATTTCTGAGATACCAACAAATGAACTTTTGACCCACCTTGTTATACCATGCAGTTACAATTAGCTTTTCCTCATAATCACGTAACTTTGCAAGTTTGTATTCAGCCTGCAAGGAGGCAATAGAGAAGACAATCTCAATTAAAACATAAAAATAATCCGCATAGACTTATTGCAGTCCTTTATTGCATAAACTTATTGAGTGAAATACATGCAGCAGAAATGCTTAAATAGGCAAAATAACTAGAAGGCTTAAAAGTGTAAACAAAGATACCTCCATAAATGACTACGAGAGAAGTTATAGACTACTACAAGAAGAAGTTACACTTTACAAAAGTTGCAGTTCAACTTAGAAACATACTTTGAGGGGATGTGTGTGTGGAGGGGGGAAATGCATGAATGTCATGCAATGTGTGTCAGAAAGTCTACAAATAATTTTGTAATTTTCACCTGGAAGTCAAAGACAAGAATGCACCTCTAGTGGCTGAACATTCTTATCGTGTTACTGAATTGCTATTATAGAATATAGGCCACAGCATTTATGAAGTCAGACCTTTCAGCCTACTAACTCACGTTGAGGAATTTTGTATTTGCTCAGGTAACTATTCTAACCAGTCCAATCAATATTGCTATAAAACTAAATGCAGCACTTCCCAAATTTTTTGGTACTTGTACTACTGTCAACAATCCTTTCAGGATTTCAGCCAAGCAGATTATACTGAATTATCAGTTTTTACTCTTCTATACAGTTTCAAGAACTCTAGTATATTAAACCACTGATATCAGGGGTCTAGTAAATTAAACAAGTCACCACTCAAATACCTAGTCCCTCATACAAACTAAGTTACATTACTACTGAAAAAGGTTAGACTCTGCAGCTCTCTACAAGTTACCATAACATGGCAAAACCATTAGTCTTATGAACTATTTCACTTACAGGTCTTCAGAGGGTTTAGAAAGAATCCAAATTAGCGTTTCAGTTGTACATTGAAAAACACTGTTGAAAAGTCAACTGCTCTGACAGACTTATACTAGGATACAAGGTTAATTAAGCCAAACTAAAAATCTCTAGGTCTGATGGTCTGCGCAGTTTCTAACTGAATGCAGCACTGAAGGGTACAGGATCATTAGGAAACAGGAACTTGAGTGTCTAATATCAGAGACAGCAGAACATATTAGAAGTTATTATTAAATATATGTAAATTTTTACCTCTAGTGCTTCAATTTTTTTGTCTTTCTCCATTAGCTGTTTTCTGAGCAACATAATTTCTGCTGATGCTGGATTTAGCTTGGGGTCTAAGGTTTTTATCACCTGTACAAGGCAAAACAAACGCATTACAAGTCAGGTTTGATTCTCAATAGCTCTGCATCTCATCTGCTCACAGTAGAAATATGAAAACAGACTGAGTACTTGTCAGGCAATTACGACGAAAACTAGGCTGCTACACTGTACAACAGAAGATATCAGAGGGTACAGAGGAATTATTAGTGCACCTCATGCTTTAGCCTAAACCCCATTCTCTCCTACACTCAACTGACTCCAGTTGAGCAATTTGACTAAAAATGCAACATGTAACTACTAATTTTAATTGGGAGGTGGAGGGGAGGGGGCCTCAAATCGATCTGCTTAATAATTTTATGAGGGAGGAATGTATATGTTCAGAAATATGCCACTCACGTTTCTTGCTTTCTCAAGGTACATTTTGTATCTTTCTTCCATTGCTTTCATATCCTCATCTTTTTTTCGCAAAGCTGCTTCCAGCTCTCCAATCTTCTGGGCTATTTAGAAAAATTGTCAACAAAGATATATAAAATAAAAATAGACATGGTACTTTCAAGGCTTCTGTGGCCTCTTGATTTAACCAGCCCCCAAATAAACTTTCTAGCTGCTACACAATTTCTTAAAGTTCTTATCTTTGTTTCAGTTGTACCACAAGGTCCCACCTGACCCTGAATTCCCATTTTGCAGAGTTTTGTTGAACAAAACTAAGCCCCCATGAATGTCTCCCCGCCGTCTACTGTGTGCAAAAAAGCCTCTCTTCCCAAATCCGTTTCAGGTTTAAAGCTAAGCTGTAGCAGAAAGCCTTATCCAGACAAGTATCCCAAGAAGAAACTTAACATAATCTCATAAAATAAAAAAAACACACAAAGCAACTTACGGTTCTGACTAACATCAGGCTGGAGTTCTGCAAGATCAGCTTCCTTCTTCTGTAGCTCATCATGAACTTCATTCAACTTTTCCCTACAAACGAAAGGCTGGGCTAAGGATTAAGCTCACAAATAATTCCATACACAGTTTTAACAGCTGAAAGCCAAAACTTTAATAGTGGAAGTGTTTAAACAACTATTTTAAACTCCGCCACTTCTTTTGCATTTAAATAGAAATATTAGTATGTATTTTTGAAGAACCACAAAAGTTCTGACTTCTGAATAGAGTCTCATTTACCTAAAACTAGAAACAAAAAAAGAAAAGAAAAGAAAAGAAAAGAAAACAAAAACCCTCCAGCATCTCCTTAGTGGAAATTACATCTGCTGAAAGAATGGAAATATTTCAGAAGAATGAAATACATTTTCAGCCCTGTAAGAGCGCTGGTTTTAACAGTCTGTTGTAGAATCAGAACAGCTAAAGTGCTATTAGTGATGAAGAGACAGTTAAGTGGATACTAGTATCACAAGATTATCATAATCAGAGTAGACAAAACTAGAACGCTAATACTTAACTGACTACGTGCATGATTCTCAAATCAGTGGCTTAGAAAAAAAACAAGACATCCCTACAAAGACTTAGGCAGTTTCTGTGCTACAACAGTCAAATTATTTAGCATTAAAAAAAAAAAGTTATTGTGGATCCCTGTGCCTTACTTACATATGTGCAGCCAATTTCTGCTTCAGGTTGCTAGACTATGAAAGGAAAGAGTTAAAAGTCAGTTATATTTCAGTATTTCACACTGTGCAATGTTAAAGTGCTCTTACAAATTAGCCAAGAATACTTAGCACACCTAAACAAACCAAATAAATCCTAAGAAAACTGCATTTTTTTCATGCATTTCTGTAACTGCATTCATATTTTTTGCATCGCACATACACCAATTCCAGCATCTTTTTTCTTTAAAGCTATCCTTCTCACTATACCTCTATTTAATGATAAAACTAGAGATTTTTAAGTAGAAGGTAGAAAAGTTACAGTTCCTTAAAGAAGGCAGGGCAAAGGAATCACATAAAACATGAGCTTTTCAACTGAAATGCAATTGGTGTGGGGGTCTGGCAGATTCTCATACTATAGAGACTAAACTCATCTGTTCTGAATACAGTGGATCCAAGTTTGTTACCTAAACTGAGGGAGTTGTTTTCAGGCTGGAGAGAGTTTTTAGAATACATTGAACAGCCTCAATTGTTTAAGATCTTTGCTTGCAAGGTCTTTTGAAAGGTGTGTGTTTGTTTGGGTTGGGGGGCGTTGGGTGACTCAAAGGGGCTTCAGAGCTTGCTTACTCTTAATATGTTTCAAACTAACTTTAAAAAAAAAAAAAAAAAAAAGCAGCATGGAACCACGATCCTGCTTTCTTACTATTTATCAGCACTAGACACACTGAAAAAGATGAGGCACATCTAAACAAAGGACTTGATGTTACACTGAAGGATTTTAAACAAAACTGGCAAGATGTCTTCAAGATCTAGTCTGAACTTTTACTTACTCCTTCAGTCTTGGATCCCTGCTCCTGTAAAGTCTTTTGCAGATCTTCAATCTGCTGCTGTAACTCCCCAATACGCTCTTCATTTAGCCTTTTTGGAAAAAAAGGCAGTTATTACCCATCTAAATAGATCACAACAGACAGATTTTTCTGTTTCATGTCTGGATGATAATTTTTCAGAGAGTCTACCCAGTAGGACTTAAGCCACAAAGAAACTGATGTCAAATGTTTTCAGTTTGACTTGAACTTCTGCTGAGACAAACACATGGCGGCTCTATCAAGCATTTTATAATGAAAGACCTAGAATCATTTTAAGAAAACTTAACTACTCAAAATTCTCATATCCCAGTAAACTGCTTTCAGCACTCATTAACTGATAGAGAAATTCACACCATATCCCAGTGTTACAACATGATTAATTTGAAGTTCCCGAAATAGAGTTTACATCCATTCTTGGTCTACCAAGAATCATTCAGAGGTAAGAAGAGCATCCTATAAGCAACACTGTCTTCAGAGTATGCTACACACAGTTCTACCGCACTTTACAACACCAGGTTTAAGCTACTTTCCTTCTTGATTGCTTCAAAACCCCTCATTAATGATTACACCAGTGAAACAAAAAAGATAACTGGCTTCCTGCACAGTACTATGCTACAGATGCAAGCCACAAGGCCACTCTGAAGGCCCAGAAATCACTTTTTGCTATGTTTTAAGATGCTGTTTCACTCATTACCTTTTCTCAGTTTCTAGTTCATTCACTGTCCGATGCTTTTGCTCTAGCTGTTCCTGGAGCTCTGTAATACGTTCATTTTCTGATCCTTCCTGTTTTAACAGAAGCATCTTATTTTCATGCTGCAGGCGAATAAACATTTCCCTGAATCAAAACCAACAAAAAAGTCACTGTTAATTAAGAAAAAGGTGACTAAGACTAGGAGGTAATATTCCTGTTCTCTCCCCCAACCTTAAAATGAGTGAAACAAGTTCTGCTTAAGGATATAGCTGGGGTAACAAAGCAATTTTTTTATTAAAGGTAGCTTACAATTTTCAAACATTACAATAGTTTAAGAGATATGAACAAAGTCTTAAATGAAGTCACTCCAAACCCAGATTTTATTGTGCCTTTATGTTTCACTCTGCCAGACTTCAAAAGTAACATTAGCTAGCCTTTAGCTGTTGTGTCCTAGTTGCTGTGTATTATTTATTTATTCTGTTTGTCAGTGGCAAAATAAGAATTGTTTTGCTCTTTAAAGACGGTATTTCAAGCCAAACTTTATAAACAGCAATCTGATACGCTTTTAAGAAAGAATGCAAAGTAATTATACTATGGGGAAATAATTAGTAACAGCTACATGGGGGTCCAAACAAGCAAAGAGGGAAAGCAAGAAGTGGGATACAGAGTCATGTTGCTGAAAATACTGAACTTTCACAGAGACAATATTATGCCCTACCCATGAAAATCCCAAAACAACATCAACCTTTTTGTCTTACCTGTATTCCACCGGCAGAATTTCAGCAGCAAGATTCTCATGGCTTTTAACACGAGATGCACCTGAAATTGCATGGGAATTTTAATTTAACAAACTTAAAGAAATCACTAATATATATAAAAAAGCCCCTGAAGATAAAGCAATACCTGTTTGACTCAGGTGATCCTGTTGCATCTGTGAATACCGGAGCTCTTCATTTGTCTCTTTTAATGCATCACACTGCACTATCAGTCTCTAAGAAGATACATTCGAGGTGAAATTAAGTCATACTGCACCACTTTAAGATCAAATAATATTAATCAGGAATAGTACTGACACATACACATTTTAAGACATATTTTATGTTTTATGTGTGTATATACAGACACATGAGGTGCCAAACCTCATTTTTATGGTAGCACTACTTCTGGGAAGGTTTTCCTCAAGCAGAACATTTGAGACAGATTCAGTAGGTGTTCAGATAAACTCTCGTCCAAGAGACTTACCTCTTTTTCTTTGATTAAAGCTTCATGTTTTTCTTCAAGTCGCTTCATTTCAAATGCTAGCTTGTCAGCTCTTTTTGATTCTTCAGACAGTTTGTTATGAAGCTCCTGGACCTTTTAATAAAAAGACTATATTCAGCACACAAATGTTGCAAGACTCTTCTTTAAAAGCTATGTTAAAACCTTCACTCCTGCCCAGTTCAGCCAAAACAAGCAGCTGGTCCTCCCGCCTTGAGGGAGGGGAGGTAGGATGGGGGTCTGTGTGTTTGGGGTGGGGGGCGTTGGGGTGGTTTGTTTTTTTGTTTAGTTTTGTGTTTTTTCTTTTTTTTTTTTTTTTAAATATTTAACTCCTGCATCTATTAATTACTACTGAAGTAAGTGAAATTGAAATCAAATGTCTACAGTTTAAAATAAATTTCCATGGAGTTAAGAATACCACATATGAGTGATCTCAGTAACAGCTGAACCACCTCTCCCAGGCACACGGACTACCTCAGTTAAAGTAAAGAAGAAAAGTCTGCAAACCATGGACAATCATTCATGGTTGAGAGGGCAACTACAGTTAAGCTTGCTAGTTTAATAAACATGGAAAACCAGAAAGTGAGTGGAAGAGTATGAAGGAGTTTTCACAAATAAGACATTCTAAGGGGACAATACAGCTTAAGCCCATGGGCTGTTAAATTAAGCTGTTCAAATTTTTTTTTTTCATTGAAACATACCTAAATAAAATTATTTTAAGACAACCATCTGAGGAAAAAGTAACATTGTAAGTATAGATGCAGCCTTACTTGTCTTTTGTAGGTTTCTAGCTGGGCACGTGCTGCATTGGCTTTCTTCAGTTCATCCTCCAGACTGACTGTGTTGTGCATATACATCATGTTGGTTTCCTGCAGAGATTTGACTTGTCTGCGGAAGTCATTCAGATCCTGCAGTTTTTTACGATACACTTCAACAGTTGATTCCAGCTTACTTGCCTTGTCTGCAGTAGTCCTTAAAGTATAAACAGGAATTAGAAGAAAGAGTATGTTTCTTCAAAAGGTTAAAAAAGTCAAAATCTGCTTTCACACACATTCAAGCCATTTTCAGAGAGAGATGCAATGTGCTTAACAGCAGAGTTAAATCTTAGTAGTTTATTTTAAATGCATAATCAATGCAAACTTGCATTAGGCAAAGATTGCTTATAAAAACTGACATCACCACAAGGTTTAAGTGAGAATAAGACTGAGAGCCATATGCCAGAGTACAAGCAAGGGTTAGCATGTCAAATATCTCCAGGGAATTCTGTGGGGTGCAATGTAAATGCACCACAACATCCTGTGCTAGATAGTCATCTCAAAGTACTGGTACTCGGTAAGGAAAAACATGCAGATGTTCTCATTGCAGGGTTATACATAGTTAGAACGTAACTGCACTATGAAACGATCGTTAGTAGATATGACCAAGAATTACCAGCTGATTATTAACAAAAATCTACATGGTAAGAAAATACTTGGATCATAAATATGCAAATTAATTTTAGTATCTGTGTTTAATATCTGCCATCTTATATCACTAGAAGCTAGTACAAGAAAATTACGGAAGAAAAATCTATAGTTAAGATTTGTCTCAGATGTTATTTAAGAACAACTATAAGTTAAACACCTGAAACCACTTTTCTTTCCATATTTTATTCATACTATTTTATGAATAGCAGACCTGCTTTTGCAGTATGATTTGCTTTGGATATTTCTTGTGTGGTCTGGTATTTCATTTAGTTTACACAAGCTGGAATGTTATACTAAATTCTCATCAAGGTTATTGTATATTTCATCTTCATTTTGTTAATCCTGTTGTTAACCTAAATCTAGCCTAGAATGCCAACATCAAAAGTTATGTCAAAGTTCTAGATGCATATATGCTTTTCTACATCAGAAAAGGCAGCCTCTTGCCAACACAAATGACCTCTTAATAAAAATGCACATACACCCTCAAAAAAATTTCTTAATTCTTGCAGAACTTCAACCTTCCATCCCACATGAAGAAGAATAATTTCTGTATTCGTTCATCCTGCTTCATAGAAAAATTCCATGTTGCTATTCTTATGCAAACAACAGAGGCTATGCCTGAAAGCTTGCACTCCATCTCTGCTTTGTCAAAGGGCCCTTTTCCAACATCTATTTTAGATCTCATTCAGAAAACATCTATCTGCAGAAGTAACATCTCAGAAAAAAAAAAAAATCTTATTAAATACAAAGCCTTGGATTTAGTCATTAAATCCTCCTAATGTGTGTGTGTGGAGCTCTCTCTATCACATACCTAAGAATGTCATTTTCATCTTTCAAGGCTCTAGATTCTTCTGCCAAAGAGGTTAGTTCATTGTTTCTATGTTGCAGTTCAATCAATTGTTTTTCTAGGTCTTCACAATGGACACGATAATCATCTTTTGCAGCTTCAAGCCTACCAGATCAAAAAAAGGAACTCTATTAAGAACTCATCGTTATTACACATTTTTCATTTAGTGCTAGAACTACTAAAAATAAGACAAAGGAAACCTATTGATTTAAGTAGCCAGAAAAATGGTACTGTAAGCATGGAACATTTTATTGTCTACCAGTTAAATCATAATAGATTGTATCCTGCAAATTTACCATATCGATATCAAGGGATCACATGAAAAGTGATTTTTTTTTTTTCCCCATACAGATCAGAGGGAGAAAGACTAGTATGTAAAAGAAATCTTTATAGTAAAGAGATATCGTGGGTTTGGAGAGGGTTAGGGTTTGTTCTGTTTACACACAAATCACTCTGGCACTCATTTTTCTGCCTTCCATCACCTTTTTTGAAGTGTCAAATGACTACAATATGGTAATCACAAAGTAATATTTTCTACAAGTAACAGCTTCTTTTTAAAGGTAAGGACTGTCTTTGAAATATGTTTATACACTATTAGGAAGCTTTTACAGCAAAAGAAATCGAGATGGAAAATCCTGAAAGAGTACCAGAAATTCTCAGGATATATTTGACATGACAAGTGAGGGATTTTTGAGAGAAATCATTTCATACCTGAAGTTTTCTTCTTGCAGTTGTTCCAGCTGCAACTGTGCATGAAAATACTTTTTTGCAACCACAGTATTCGGATCATCAAGAGAGTCGTCCAATTGCTCTAGCCTGTCATTCATAATCTCATTTTCTGACATCAAGCTGTTTTTTTCATCCTGGAGGGCAGCCACCTAGTGCAGATAAAACAGCGTCCACATTGTAAGACGTGTTCCACTGGAAAGAACTAAAGCAAGACAGCAGTACATCACCAAATTAGTTTATGAAAAAGGTTGAGCGTTTAGAAATTTTAGAATGTAATTTACATAGCATACTTGAGCATACCGATGCTTTAGTGTATGACAGTTATGAAGCACTGAAGGAAAAGTCCCTCTGAAAAAAGACAAATTTTTGTAACTGAAACCATGGTAAAGGCAGACAACGCGGTATGGAGAGAAACTGGTGCTTTCGTTAAAAAGGATACCATGGACGCCGCACAAAAAAAAAGTTAAAGTATTGGTGTAAAGGTACTCTCCATCTTGCTTGTACTTAACAATAAAAAGCAGGATGGCACTGGCTAGCACACTAACACAGTACTGCCGTGCGCTCAGCAGTGAATGGTTGCGCAACAAGCGGTTTCAGGCGCCATAAGCTAGTAAGCACACACGCAAAATAAAAAACACCTAGACAGCTTCATAGAAAGCATGCACTTTTTTTTTTGCAACAATCAAACAAGTTTGATATTGAAAGTGTTCACAGCTAAGCAAATGAGAATACAACACTTTATTGAAACAGTAAGTATATTAACAGCCATAAAATGGGAAAGGATTAAGAGGATAGAACCTTTAAAGTTTTTCTAGGGAAAGCTGCTGTGTTAATTTTAACATCCTGTCAAACATAAGAGCATGTAGCATGTGTTAGTTAACTGGCATTTAAACAGGGACAATATGCTTTTTGGGTTATGTTTTCCTGAATCATAAAGAAAACCTACCTTTCTTACACTCTTGGAAAATATCAAGGAAGACTGAGACCTTACAAGTGAATTTATTAAGAATTAGTTTAAATGAGAAGTGTCAGTCAATATTATGGCTTCAAATAAATAAAAATTAAAAAACAAAATGAAAAAAAACAACAAAAAAAAACCCACATCACGGTGACATTATTAGATTAAACATCAGATATAACCGAGAGTATGCAATATTAAGAAATTGTTTGTTTGTGATTGCAATTTAAAAGTCTATTAGTCAAACAGATGTCAGAAACAAAACAGCAATTAATCTACCACTTCATTAGGTGCTGGCTTTCCACGTTCACTCCTTTTTACATACCAGATGTCACTTTACTACATACGTGCACACAAAACACCTGTGAGTAGAGAGCATACCTGAGCTTTGCTCAGCATAATACTTCCTGTTCAAGGTTCAGCCACTCCTCAAACATGCACAACATTCACACTTCTAGAATGATGTTAAAAGAACACCCATCTCAAACTTAAAACAAAACCAAACCAAAACTGTCACACAGCTCAGAGCAAGTTTGTCATCTTTTCTCAGTCCCTTTCTGATAGCTTTCTCTTCTTCTTTTCTATTATTTCATCACAACAGAAGTGGTGTCAAAGTCAACACAAACTATGAAGAGATATTTTAAAAACACGTCACAGTATTAAAGAGCTACAGTGTCATTAACTCATCTGTTTATACTCAGCAGTACCTTTCCCTCGAACACCTTTCATGCCTTCACCTGGCCCATGCTATGTTATGCGCAACTGACTTTGTGTAACCTATCATTAATTAATAGAGATTATTTATTTTTATTATTTATCTCATTAATTAATAGAGAAATCTCAAAAGAGAAGTTTGTGGGAGACAGGAGAAAGCCTGGGACCTCTCTAGTGAGACATACTAAGTCTCCTAATGGAAGCAGAAAGCAGAAGTAAACCATTATCCCAGCACCTCTAAAAGCGAGAGGTTTTGAACAGTGAACACACCTTTTGAAGTTTAACAACTGTAATCTGTGAGTTCTGCTGTCAAATCAATCCTCTTGCCCATTTAAAAGAAATAATTTTCTCCTGCAGATTCTGTTCACAAGCATTTTTCGATCTCTGCTTTCACTAGGAAGCCTTACTACTGCCTCAAAACAACCAAAAACCCCTCGAAATGAAATATTAATTCAATTCTAACAATAGCTTCCTGGGCATGGCAATTAGCTACAAGCTACTTATTATACATAAGTATTCTACTTCTTTGGTCATCATTACCTGTAAGAAATGTAAAACCGGCCTCTGGTTTTGTGGGGTTTTTTTGTTTTGTTTTGTTGGTTTTTTTTTTTCCAGAGGTTCATACAGCCAGTATAGCACTCTGGCTCCTATAAGATGCCACCAAAATGTTCTCTTTGTACAGAATCAAATGTGAGATGAACTACCTTACTAGAAAAATATCTTTTTATTATCAGATTACAGTACCATAAAAGAGGAATCAGACTTAGGGCTAACAAATGGATATTTTTTTATTTTAAAATAAGTTGATTGAAATGCAAGTTCCTGTTTATTGTTATGAAGTCCTCTCTCCTTTTTCTAAAGAGCGACTTGAATAACTTTTATATCCGTTGAAAACAAAAATAGGCCTATTATCAGTGTGGCTTGAAAACATCAGCAAGGATCTATTAGTTTCTGTTATTTTTATTTCCTGAAATATCTTAAACGTTGCAACTGTGTACGAGAAGAAGTTAGTAAATTTTAGATAAATTTCAAATGTTAGTCTTTCATCAACTCCTATTGAAAACAGAATCGTTTTCCCATGATTAAATCTAATGACTCATGATTACATGAACTGGATTTTTGGATACAGTTCAAAAGACTAGAAGTAGCAGCAACTAAAAATGAAAAGGGCAATTTTTAAAGCCATGATAACATTGTCTTGATGCTACCTTCTACTAAGAGTAAACATAAAGCTAGCAGCCCAAACAACCTTTGAGTTAACAGTTGGCACAGGACCTCAGCTCACACTTCCATCAGAAAACTATTTCCAGTAACCGCATTTTGGAATACAGAATGTTTGCTTTTCCCCCACGAACAGCCAAGAATTCTCAGAGAAACTTAAATAAATGCAAAATTCACTTTCCCCTTGAGAATTTCTGCATCTTAATAGCAGCACCGCTACATATTAAAGAAACAAATTACTTGCTGTTTCTTACCTGTAAATCTAGCTCTTGACATCTTTGTGCCAACTCTTCTTTTTCTGCTAATGCTTCCTGAAGATCTTCCAAAGCCTTTTTAAGCTTTTAAAAAGTAAGACAGTCAATCATTCTGGCCCATATCCAAAGTACTCACAGTTCTAGCTTTCAAAATGTCTCATTTGCTCATATCAATTGCTTAAGAAGGGTGTTAGGTGCACACATTGACACAGAAACCTACATATACACTGTTAGATCATTTCTGACAATGCTCATTTCATCTGCATTTCAAATGACTACCACATGTAATAAGTAAATTATTGAAACTCAGCTTAACATCCAGATTCAACACAACAACTTAGGCTACAAGCGCAACAAAACCAAACACAGGAACATTTGCGTTGTCACAATTTCAAAATTCCTGCCTATCAAATTAAATGCCCTTCATCTCAGAATAGAAATACTGATACTTCTTTATGGGTAGCTACTTTTAAAGGCAACTTCATTTAATGTGCAATGCTTTGTAGGGTTCAGGTCATCAAGAATTTTCATGACCCCTTAAAAATATCCTGAGGTGTTTAGCCTTGACGTGCCTCTAGCTCTTCTTGCAATGTAGGTTTGCACTGGCCAGTTTTACCCCATCCAAGAAGATGGCATAGCAGTCACTGCATAATTTTTTTTAAAGAAGTTATTAAATAGCATACAACTTTTCACTTAATTAGCACTGAAAAACAGCACTACTTTATTGTACATTCTCTGCCTACATCAGTATGTTCCTCTGCCCTTTGGTGAACCAGTATGGTTTAACCATATCAGCTCCAAGTGGAAAATAGACCGAACAGTTTGTGCTGACAGAAGACAGGTGTTTTGGGTTTTTTGGGTTTGTTTTTTTTGTTTGCTTTTTTTTTTTGTGGGTTTTTGGTTTTTTTTTACACTTTTAGAATTGGAGGGGAAGAGCAGCCCTCCCCTTCATTTAAGGGATGGCAAGATACCAACTTACTGTTCAGGTTTGAACTACAACAGCAATAAATATTAGGCAGTTACCTGCTGTTCCGTTTCACTTGATGCATCACCTGTGGAAGGACCCATTATTTCCTTGCTCATGAGCTACAGAGAGGTCATAGGAAAAGGTTAAATTAGAGGTTAAATTTCTGTAAATTCACTGTCTACTGAGTACCAATTGTATTTTCCACTGTGTCCTTGCATCCTTGCAATCTATCAAAACAGATTAATAACAATAATTTAAAAAACAAAAACCTAAAAAACCTACAGAACCCCTCCCCCCCCACACACACCTCATGGTTGCGAAAGGATTTAAACAAATCTAGAATAAGATTTTTTTTTTTTTACCTCTCCCCTTCCCTAATTAACCAAGTAACATCTTGTTGGATGAATCCGTGATCTGTTGAAGTTATTGCTACCTCCTAGTCAAGTTAAAATGGGAGAAATCCCAGAGAACGGGATTTCACTCAATTAATCTAATAGTTATCACACTTCTTTGTGTCACTTTTACAGAGATGTACACAATATGTTTGTCAATAGTTAAAGGGCTTTACTTCTTACTCAGGAATTACAGTATTATTTTTAGACCCTCTTCAGAAGAAAGTTTAATTAGTCAGAACACAACAAAAAAAGATGTTTATGGATTTATGCCTCCCAATAGGACACTTACAGCTTTAAGGACTATATAGTCAATTTAAATTTAAGTTTTAAAGCCTACTATCAACTCCACTGTTACCTTGATGAGGGTGACGTGCAGAAACAAACTCTACAACTCGCAGAGAGTTACAAAGCAGGCATGTTTATTTCGGCACCGGGTGCAAGGGGGATCGCTCCTCCAAACTTGCACACCAAGTAAAATGAAGATACATATTATATACCATGAGACATTTGCATATTAGTAGTACACTACATATTCATTGTTATTCACACTCAGGATTGGTTATAAGTTTCTCGCTTCTAATGTAAATTAGTACGCATCCTCAGTAAGCACTAATGAAGCCTCTATATTAACTACACATGCTCCCCAAGCGGGGTTTTGCCCTCTTTCGGCGGGGCCATTTGAGTTGGAGGTCGCGATCTGCCACTACCACAATTACCTCTGTCCTGCTCTCAGCTACTTTATTGTTGATGTCTGTGGGTTGTAACGTTTTATCAGTTTGGCTCCCTTCATGTCTAGAACTCCCTCTCTTGAAGGCCTCTCTCCACATTCTTGCCTACTGGCTTAGATAACAGTGTCCCTTCTTCTATCGTTTGTTCTTTTTGTGATGCTTCCCAAGCTTGAGATGCCAGGCTAAAGAATGTGCCTGTGTTTCTGTTAATTTAGATGAATTATTTAACCTTTTGGTATCAAGGGTGCAATTACACATCGCATTTTCTTCAAAGCCAGCATTTAGTTTTTGCCTCCCTCCACACTCTGCTTCAAAGCCCGAAAGCTCACAGATGCGGGTGACCATAGAGCTATGCTGTGAGCTGGATCACGAAGATGATCCAACTAAGAACAAGTTAAGATAGCAGGAGGAGCACACCATGAGAAGAATAAGAGAGATGTACCTGGGAGTTTGTAAATGAGATGCTGGTATGGTCTGTCAGAACAATGTAGACTCAAACAGTTATGATCAGCTTAACTTTGGGTCCAAGACTACAGCACTGGGACAGAAATTTCAGAACCTGACTCCAGTATAATCAGCAGTTGGCAACTAGATACATTCCTGGGTGAAACGGGAAATCTTTAGCATTTATTGTCTCCACAAGTTACATGTTTGGGCATACGAGACTAAAACTAAAACCCCTTGGTTGGATTCTGGGGCTTCTTGGTCCTGATCCTCCCAGATAATTTAGGGAAGTACTTACGCTCTTCCCTGCCCTTTGCTTGGATGAAGGAATTCACAAAGATCAACAAATGGATATTCAGACTTCTCAACTGACAGCATTAGGCTACGAATTATTACTTACCTCTTGAATGGCAGTCATGACAACATGTTGAACAGATTCTTCAAGGGTCATGATATTTTGTATGTGTTCTGTGAGAAAGAATTTGTAGTGACTCATGACTTAATGGCTTGAGTACCATGACATACTGTTCGCAGAAAGATCCAGAAGAAACTATTCTCTATAAAGCTTCTTCAAAACAGGCAGAGCTCTTTTTATACAGAGCACTACCATTAACCAACAACATTATTATCCAGTAATATGGTAGATAAGCATAAGAGATTATAATTAAGTTAATTGGAAAAATGGAAAAAAGTAGTTGCTAGCATCTTCATTCGCAGTGCACCTTGATGGCTTACTTCCCAAACACTCTCTGATGAAGTCATTTCAGACTACCTAGGAATCACAGCTGTTCTACTAACAGAATCATGCTGAGGTTTCTGTAGCCATCAGAGCATTGAGCATTAGCTCTGGTAAGGTGAGAGAAAACTCAACTACTTCAGTCTTGAGCCTCTGCAGACAAACAAAAGGCAGTTTCCAACATAAGTTTTAAACTTAATTTGCTTGATTTGCATTTGAATACTAAGTTTTAGGTCTTGGTACATATTTTAACGAGTATGAATAATCCACACACACTTCAGACTATTTTTTTAAAACCTACCCTGAGCAAAGTTTCGAGTTTATTCATAGAAGTTTCCCATAGGTTTTCTGCTTTTAAGTGAACTCCTGTTTCAGAATAGGTGTACAACATATTAACAATAGAGACTTTCTGATACATAAGAAAGAAAAGTTTCTACATCTCTTCCACCTTAATGATCACCTGAGGCAGTCTGCTGTTTGTTGAACAGGTTAAGGCAATGCATACCTTGTTTTCTTTCACAGTTGACCGCACAACCTAAAATAAGCTGCAGAAGCCTGCCCAGTTCAGTGGGATCCGAATTCTCAGATATCCGGTTTAAGTCCGGAATAAGCTCTTCTGAAATCTGCTGACCCAAGAACTGAAAAAAAAAAGAAGAGAAGAAGTAGACTCCCACTTTTGTACAACGTGAAACTCTGGTATCATGTAAGAAATCTGGACTCAGTAAGGCATCCAGAGAGAACAGTCCATTAATAAGTTTGTCACCATAAAACTTACGGAAGGGAAAGATTTTAAATATTAAACATGGAGACACACTAAAAATACTGGTTTATGAGAGAGTACACAGACAGCAGTATCAGATGAGGAAATCTGAAGAGGTCTAGATAAAGCAGATGTTCTTAACTCATTTGTTACATGAAACTCAGATGTCACACACTGTGCCTCTCTTGCACCAGCAAAGATCATTCCAAATGTCTGTCTCCATCCCTCAGTGTGGATGTGTGCTTGGGGGAAGGGGTACTCAATCCACTGCTAGCCAATTACTTTCACCATACTTGGCACCTCAGATTTCTCTCTGAATAAGCCTAAATTTAACCTAGAGCAGACAGCATTTAAAAATGGGTGCAAAACACCTAGCAATTATTCAGTGCAATGAAGTTATTGCACTTTAGTAAGAGTTCTATAAAATGGCTCTGGCAAAACCAGAAGTTTTGAAAGTCTGTTAATTGCGGGTTTAGTTAACTGACTACTTATACAAGAAAAAGGACAGTAGTAAGTTAAAAGTTCTTGGGCTAGACCTCAAATATGAGAGAATTAATTTATTCTACCAACATAATAAAGAGAAGTAATTAAAACTGCTTCCAAATTCTGTTGTTCCCTAATCTTTCAAAAAGCTCTTCATAAGCCTAAAGAACTACTTCTGGGCTTGCCAGAAAGCCTCAGTCCTGGCAATACAGAAGGGCTTGGCACTAGGTATCACAACTAAGCCCAGGTAAGACCAGGAAGCCATAAGATGATCTGGCAAGTTTTTCTACACCATACCCATTATAGAACAGTAATCAAGCTGCATACAAAATTCAGCAATTTTTTTTTTTAAACTCAAAATGCAGCACCCTTTTATGGCTACTGTACTCACCCTGCATGACAGAGAACAAAGTATAATCCTAACTATGTTCAGGAGGATTTGTAACTTATCTCCCAGTTTCCAAGTGAATATTGTAAAACCTAGACTAGGGCTGCTGAATCTGTTCTGTTATGTACAGAAGGATTAAAAATTCACTAGACAAGAGCAAATATGAATGCACATGCAAAAGTCAACAGGATTCTGCAGCTCATTTGTTATGACATTCAACTGGGCAATGATGGACACATGGTTTCCAGATTATACTCCAAGAGTTTTATCTAAAATACACATGCTCACATTAATTTTATATTCACTCAGACTTCCCACTTAACCATATAATTACCATATACTTCCTGTCAAAAAAGTCCTTCAAAGAAATTACTTTGCCAAGGGAAAAAAAAAAACCACCTAGGTGAAGGAGGACAATAATCATAATGTTTAATGATTAGAACAACAAAAAAAATGCTGCTTTTTCCATACCTCATGATAGTAGTCCATAATTCCTTGAAGTATCTTCTTCAGATTACTGGCCTAATTGTTGTATATATGAAAGATAAGGTTACAGGCTTTTATTAAAATTCTTGATTTTGCTGAAATTAAAAAACAATCTATAATAAAATATTTACAGAGCAGTTCTATGAGAGGACTCTATAATGACAGGGTAAGAGAAATATCACAACAGAAAATCCCCATGCAACAATCCTGGAAGGCATTTAAACTATCAACAGACAGTTCAAGTTCATTTATAATAACCTAAAAAAATCTGAGCTTAATTCTGTAGTTTTTGGACTGCTAGATACCCTCAGGACAGACATGGTATCTAGTCCCACCAAGTTTCACTAACTTCAGTTTTGAATACCTTTATTCTCCAGTTGTCACCAACATCATCTTTAATGCGATTTAGCCAAGATGCATCAAACCAAGCAACATCTCTGAAACAAAATTAAATGATTAAACACCAATAAGCACAGTCTTAAATAAATAAGATACCAGATTCCCAGCATTAAATCATCAGATGTCTGACTACAGTGTCTAACGAGGCATGAATTCCTGGAGATTGCAAGCTATACCTATATCACATGAAATTTCCATACTGCTGGCTGCATCAAGACACCACCTTCCAGGGCAGGAAGAATTTCTGTACATGCTTGATCTAGCTACAGCTAGGAACACAAGGACGTGACGGCCTTTGTCATGCTGAATCTTTAAACCTGACAAAGTGATCATAATGATATAAGGAAGCATCCCCTTTTGACCAGTGCTGACATTAAGTCTGATACCTATTCTCGTACATTTGGATTTTCCAACATTCGCTACAATTTGACAAAGGCACTTATCAAGGAAAAAAAAAAAAAGCATTTTAAACTACTGGCATTTCATGTGTTTTGTATGTCTTTGGTTCCCCTGGGCAGAAGTATACTCACTTTGCCAGCATAAATAAGGATGAGTTGATGAGAGAGGTGTTTACACACACTGGGCTGCCAAGCGGTACAATCACAGCATATCTAACAATATCTTAACTTTTACACCGTATTGTTTATTCACTGGTCTCAAAGCACCTAATAAAAGACAATTACTATTCCCACTTGCATATCAATCAAGTTGGTTATAAAGAAGTTTGCCTAAAGCCTGTGGCAGCCTAGTACCACAAACACATGGGAAGTGACCCAGTAAATCTTCATTAAGCAATCCTAAATCAATTTTTGCCATGCCCCAGGAAAAGGATGAGCCCTCTTCTCTTTACACAGCATGTTAAAGACCTTTTCAAGCAGACAGCAGGGGTTCTGGGTTTGATTTTTTGGGGCATTTTTTTGGTTTGTTTGTTGGTTTGGGTTTTTTTTTTTTTTTTTGGGGGGGGGCAGGGCAGTGTCAGTAATTTCTTAGCAATCAAAAATCTAGTTTGAGCAGGATAGTAATTCAGACTTCTCCTTTATTATCTGAGCCAACAACAACAATAACATTGCAGTGATGACTTGTGCATGATACTTTTTCAATAAAAGTATTGTGTTACAACCCTCTGAAGTAACTGCAAGTTTCAAAACTAGTGTGTCACTCAACCCAGTACCACTTGTCATCACACCAATAAAATAGGAATGATTTTGCTTTTGATTAGCGAACTACTATTTTTTAATAATAAAATTGCCATGGAAGTTTCACAATTCTTTTTTCCACACAAATAGCAAGTTATCATTTAAATCCTAGAACTTAAATCTAAATCAATTGAGCAATCCCAATAGGAAGAGAGCACAAAGACATGCCTGTTGAACCTTTAGTTCTTCATTCCAAAGAACATATTGCCTGAAGCATGGACATCCGTAGAAATAGTGTCAATGGGAAAAGTGAAAAATGATATCATTCTTGCCCAATTACACTTAAGTATGAATTTAATACTGCAGTATTAGAATATCTCCTCATCACCTTCTCCATTCTATCATATTATTATTCAACTATTATATCATCCCCAAAACAAGAATACAAAGGCACATTTTATCTTCTGCTATAAACTGTCCACTCTACGTTTCTGTCTACTTTAAAAGCAACTAAGCATGTCAAACACAAAAACCTCAAGAAATTAAATACCTCTTCTTCAAACTTAAGTATCAACTTACATTTGGTGAAGTACCTGCGCCATGGCAACCCCATTAGTCAAGTCCTGAACATCTCTGCAAGGCGCAGCAGTATTGAACGTCTGCAACTGAAACAAGGAAAAACATTGTGTTTCTCGCTCAGTAGCGAAATTAATTGCCATTTTCCTTTTCCTCTTCAACACACAAGCATTTAGCAAGATGTCCTTCTACTTGAGGCAGTTGAAATCCTTCTTGAACCATATGTAGTTTTTAAGCCAACCCAATTATCTCAATACTTTTGACTGTTGATTATGACTAGTAGCTTAAAAAGTTAGTACTACCACACTTTGCTTTTTCATGCTAGTCTTTCAATTGTAAATCAAATTGTGGAATACTATCTTGGGAAACTAAAGTCCTATTTATCCATCCCTCATATTATGTTGCAGTGCTTAGCTCTGCACATACAACTACCTAAGCAAAAAACAGCATCAGAACAAGCGGTGAAAGTTGAGGCGGGAAAACAAAACCAAAAAAATCCAGTCTTTTACTACAAGCAATTAGTAACAGAAGTTATGACACCAATAGAGATCCCCGAAACTATTTGAGGGTTAAGAACAGAAGGGAGAAAATTATTCAAAAATAGTGGAAAAACCAGTTGTCTAACAGCTACTGCACACTTTAAGGATATGAAGACAGCTGGAAAAGACTAAACCATTTCAAGTCCTGCAAGCTGACAACATAATTCCTTGCAATTCAGGAATTCCAAAATGACTCTAAAGATGTTCCTATTTAAATATGCAACTTCAAAATACTGCCATAAACCCAAGAAACTTTACTATAACCTGAAGTTATACATCTTTTCCCGGTAATCACATTTTATTAATATATTATTCCTGGTATTTATATTTAATTTATATACATGTTTTCCTGTTATTTTCCAAGCATATACACTATCCAATGTTTAAACATAGGGCTGGATGCCGTTTTACCCCCTCTACATATTTCTGTCTAAAAATTAAGCAACAAAGCCCGTTTTCACTCTTCTCCTCTATTATAAAACCAGATAATAGATGGAAGCATTTTATACTAAGTTGCCTGATCTATTCTATACAAATTGTTATATGCAATCTTTGTATTCTAAATGGTTCTTCCAGGCACGAGTACAATTAAAGTCCCTTTGTAGTAGGACTATACAAATAAGACGCAACTCCCATCCTCAAGAAAAAAAAATAATCTAATAGTTCAAGTGTTTTGCAGCTAGCTTCTCCAAAAGCAACTCAAACGACATGAATAACTTCAACATGTCTACATCCTTACAGAGCACTGCAATAAACATCCAGCACACAGCTCTATACTTAAGAAACCCATCATCAACCTGATGTACACTAGTTTGTTACACATCTGTAGGCAGCTCTTTTGCTGCCCTGCTAATTTCTGCCCGAAATTCTGACTGCTTCATGTATAAAGCCTTAAAACACTGAGGTACCCAGGTCCTCAGATCACTCCACAGACAGTACAAAGCGACTGCAAACTCTGCAAAACACTCTTGTCAGGGTCCAGGACTTTGTGATTTGGAGAACCCCTGGAGCACAGGCAGTACGTTTCTATTTAACAGTCCTCAATGAAGTTTTCTTCCATGAACTTGGCTGAGGCACTTTTTGCCTCCACAAACTCGGCATCCAGACATTCTGCAGGATATCCCCTCTTGTCAGAGTTTGTCACCTGCCCGCTTCGCCTCATCTCCCTGGTTTCTTGTGCAGATGGTGAACAGACTCTTCCTCAGTTGCCTTCTCCAGCAGCTCAAGTTTGTACTGACCTCTACCATACCCGTCTCCTCCCACTGTGTCTTTCCCAGGACCAACCATCCTCATCTACTCAGCTAATTCTCATATGGAAACTCTTCCATACTTCCCACAACGATTGCCATTTTTTCTTTTAGTTTTCTGGTTTTCCTACATTTAAGATCTGTAGGACAGGATTACCTCAATGTTAAAAACATTACTCCGTTTTAGACACTGTGTATTTTTTTAAACCACCCCAAAGCTTCTAACATTTTGACAGAATTAGCAGTATTTTATTCCCCAAAAAATAATCAGCTTGGAACTAACTTTTCTAAGTGAGAGAGCATTTCCACATACATGTCAGTTCATCACGTAGTTGCCCAGGAAAATAAGAGCTCACCAGCAATGCTTTGAAGTTCAGTCTTCTTTATGATGGCAAATAAAATAGAAAGGAGAATGCTTGCTGTTAATACCATGAAAAGATGTATATATGGAATAGAATGGAAGCAAGCAAAGATCCTTATAATCTCTGTCCACTGCAAAAATTGACTTCTTAAACTTACTATGTTTACAATGTCCTAAATTACCTGTTCATCTGTGAGACAGCTTTCCCAAACATCCTGTGAAACGTAAGCTTCTTTGGAAGTCACTGGTGAATGACCTTGTCAAGTGCGTTTGGGAAATGGAGCTACTTGGACCAGAGTGGTAGAAAAGCACAGTTTCCTGCTGTGAGAATTTGAAGCTGTTGTTGTCCACTCTGGGTTTCTAAAGAGTGACCACATACTCTGAATATTTGTTTGCTTGCCTCCAAAAAAGTCTAATCAAGCCAAGAAGATAAAAATATGAAGAGCAAGGGTGTTTCTTTAGTTCTTTTTCAATTAAAAAAGTGTTTTTAAAATCCTACATTACAGCAAGTGAGGAGTCAGTAATCCCTGGTCGGTTACATGAAAGATTAAGTAGAACACTACAAACTGAAGCAGCTGTGATTGACAGCACTGGTTTCTAATACTATAACAGCCTTCATGCCAAGGCAAGAACAGGCATGCAAGCTTACGAGTCAAGACCGAGCATGCCAGAACTCAGAGTTTTATGGTATAATGTCGTGATGCTGCCATTTGGATATACCCCCTCGTAAACCAAAGAAATTGCTACATACAGGTACTACCATTTCACCCAAGCCTGTCAGAGCAGGTAACAAACCTTAGAAAACCCTGTGACACAAATCACTGCTTTATGTACACCAGTATCTCCCAGAATAGAAACAGCTAATTAAAATTAAACAAAAAGCAGGACTCAGAGTCTTAGTTTCTCCATATATTTAAAAGTTACATAAGCACCTAGAAATAATATGAGAGTAGAAGTACTAATTACGGGTTCTCCAAACCCCATGCCAGTCCAATCATTTCCTCAAAAACAGATTTTTACTGTACTTGCAAAACCAATGAAAGTAGTAGGCATGGGGAGGAGGTTGGTAGAAGCACCCAAAGACTCCAAGACGGTAGCAGTACTAATTTTTTTTTTCCAAATTTGATTAGTTTTACTAAATATAGCTTCAAGGACATAGTGCTACTCATGCTGAAAACCATTTCATGAATCTAGCTTAAATGTACCCTGCTACTCGCTGCTACAAGAGAAGCAAGTTTTATTCTCCCACTTCCAGGTATTGTGCTCACAATATACATCTGAAAAATTAATTTTGTAGCACGTAACACTTCATGCCTTTTCTCTGGATCTGCTGAAGGCTCTACCATCAAAAAGCTGCAGATGAAACACGAGTGTTCACATTACTCAGTAGAAATCAACCTATCCATCTCTTGGGAAGGTATGCCCTCAATTTCATCCAGACGATGCAGGGTTGAAGTTCTCCATTTTATACCCAAATGATACATGCTAGGGACAGAAGTTTTATAGAGTTAGTCAAAGAGATTTTTAAGTAATAATAAACATTCCCATTCTTAATCCCAGAATATTAATAGAATAACTCAGCCATTGGACAGAGTTAACACTACCAGTGCTGCCAGTGTCAAACAGGGGTATGTCTATTGTGGAAAAAGCTTTCTGTTTAAGATGTTACCATACCTCTAGCCTTTAGTCTGGAGACAAAGACAGAAGCAGTCCTAGAGAGGTACAGAACCGAAAGACACTCAGCTAACTTTTTCTCTAATACAGTAAAGAAAACATCTACTGTAATGGCACCTAAACACAGAAGATTCTACTGTGTTGCTAGGCCTACTGCTGCTACTCTTTTCTCTCCACTCCTACCCAGAAGTGGAAAATATTAAGGTTTACTTCATGTACTAACTAAAGTTTGTCCTTCTGACAGAAAATTGTTTCTGCAACAGAGTTGTGAGTTCAACCTCAACAGATATTACTTAAATCAATTTTCCTTGGAAACTCATATACATTTCCCCTATAATTTAACCTAACTCTATTATGTTTTTCCTGCAACATCCTCAAAACTTTAAATCCATTGACCTCTGGGTTGCAGAATCAATAGATAACATTTTTATTTGAATTTTCTCTTTCTTCTCTGGACAATGCATGCTTTCTAATATGGAATTTGCTAAAAAAAAAAAAATTAAAATCTAGCAGCCGAACACAGAAAATCATGAGCATCTCTTTGCTATATTAATGAGTAAATAAATTGAGAAATCTTTAAAACCATGGAGACTTACAGAACCCATTTCTCTTTGAATATACAGCACTTCGTTTCCCCCCTCCCCAGATAATTTTTTTTCTATGATTCAGGCTGAAGTTCAAGTTGAAAGGATGTTTGACACGTACTTTACCGCTAACAACCAGTTTCTACTAAGTTGTAAACTAGGTCCAAGAAATAGGGTGTTAAATCTAAAAACATGCATCTGGCACTGCATCTGCTCAGTATTGTATTGTAAGCCTGAACACAGAGTTAGGTGCTTATTTACATTAACGACACTACACAAAGCTCTTTCAGTTTAAGGCTAGTTCCATTAGCATTCCCTTTAAGATTCATGATGTAATTACAGCTATGCACTGTGAGGATAGCAAAAATGAGAATTAGGTTTAAAATATTTTAAGCGGGAATTGTAAAAATTATAAAAGAGTTCAGGACTGCTGACAGGATTTTGAGACAGAGCTCAGGAATGCATTGATTTATTTTGGAATCAAACCATCATGCAGTTATTCTTACCTGACTACCAAGAGGAAAATGTAAAGTTAAAGAGCTCGAAAAAAGAGAAAGAAAAGTATGCACAGATTAAATGACAAGAGATACCCAACTCCAGAGAGGTAAGCATAAGACGACTGAAATTCTAGAGACCAACAAAACACTGGAAGGATACAAGGTCACTGAAAAGAAAGTAAAA